ATTTCTCAAATTCTATCTCCAGAACAGTTCACTCTCTTAAGGCCAAAATTCATTAGTTCACATCTGTGCAAGAGTATTTTGTAACAGCTCACAAATCTAAGTCCCTATCTAAAGATACTATCATTCTTCCCAAATAACTTATATTTCTGTAATTATCATTTTATTTTGGTATCTAGGAATTTCAGGTTTTTTCTTTCATTTCTACTTTTAATTTATATGGTCATTTGTCATATATTATTGAGAGAAAGATAACATCTGAGCTATCAACAAATTCACCATCTAGTGAAACTAACAGACTTTAAAATGAAGAATCTCAGTTCAGTTTTGGCTCTGAAAATGCAGAATTGCATGACTATCCAAGTTTCTGTGATCCTTAATTTGTTTCTTTTTAAAACAAGATATTGAATTACATTGTTTCTGAGATTCCTTATATCTCTAACATTCTCTTTGTATCATTCTTTTACTATTTATAGTCTGTGTACTGTGTATTTTATTGTATATTTTACAGGGCTTTTTGTTGTTATTTGTTTTTCATTTATCTTCTCTGTTTTTGTCACTTTTCTTACTCAGTTCCCCCATATATTACTGCTGAAGTAAACTTTTAACTCATTACCTAAAAATCACCTTTTTCCAGGAACTGTTGGTCATGTTCATTGAAAATTAAATTCTTAGGTATTTAAGATCTTCACTAACTGACTGCAAGCTAATTTTCTAACCAACATTTTGCCATATTCTTTTATCTCTAGTATTTCCCTTTGAACTTTTCCCCCTCATCTCAGCCATATACATTGAACATGAATAAACCTCAAGGTGTGGTCTGGACATGCTTTTCCAAACATGGTCCTTTCTTACAAACTTGTATTAAGTCGGTCCATAGATTATCAAAGAATAGTTCACTCTACAATGAATAGGTGTCTGTTGCACATTGAATGAATGGTCTAACTAATGGAACTTAAAAGAGTTTTATAAGTCTGCTGAAAAACGTATTTAAAATTTCCACAGGCCACTTTTGCACAATGCCATCATGATGCATCTTGTCTTGATCATAATGTCCCTTTATCGGATTTTAAACACACTACAGTAAGTTGTGTAGTCAGTTAGCTTAACTGTGTGCTGGTCTAGATATTACCCTAACATGCTCATCTGTCACAGCCCTATAACAACTAAATTAAGTTCTTGTGAGCCTGTGCATGGGATTCTAGGTGCTGCCACAGGGCATCTCCATCTTCTCTGCTGTTCATCCCAGCCCAGGGCCTCATAGAATGTTGTGTCTTTTCTCCACAGCAGGTCTCCCATTTGACTCTTGTTTCTGATCTTCACCTAGCTGCTGAAATAGCTCTTCTTCATATATGTCAGCCATCTTTTTATACTTGAGTCTTCAACATGTCAGTCATTTTTAAGTTTCTTATCCAATGGTTCCAACAACTGTATCATCTCTGAGTCTGGCTCCGTGTTTTTTTTTCTGGACAATGAAAGTTTTTCTTGCTTTCTGGTGTTTCTGGTACCTTTTTATTGAATATTGTACATCCTGCCATCAGTTTTGACTGACACAAATAGAATTATGCTTGAAAATGTGCATACTTCTTGTTCTGTTGGACTCTGTTTGGCAGATTAGTCAAGGTGGTGGTTAAGGCAGCAGGCAGTCATGTCTATGAGGAATTTGTACTGTAAACATTCCATTATCCATATAAAACAATCCAAAAGAAGGTTAATAAGTTGTTCAGAGTTGATCAGCGAAACTTGAACATAGTGTTCAAATATAAGGATCCTGCCTCATTACATTTTAATGCAGACAGTGCATATTCAATCCTGTAGAGGACATCTTTAAAATGTCTGCTTTATAGAATCTTTGAGGCCCTGGGAAGTAAAACATAGGTCCAGTACCTTGGTTGACAGTTGACAAAGTGTTACTAAACCTGAACACCCAGTGAAAAATGAAAACTGCTTAATAGATAAGAAGTTTATAGGTAGAAGGTGGTAATTACATCATCTCAGGATTTTCAAAATATATAGCTTAAAGATGTATTAATTTGTAGCATGTTAATTATTGCTTAGTTAAAAAAAATCCTGTTCAGTTGTGGCTTTGTTTCTGTTATTTTGCAATAAAAACTAAATAACAATGCCAATTATATTTAATAAAATCCTCAAAATATCTTCTGGACATTTATGTCTTACATGTTTCTGTGTTACCTGTTTATAACATGTCTATTATTATGTATTGTATTTGTCACAAATTTTCCTGGGGAAGTTGAGATATTTAATTTTCATGTTATTTTCAATAGTGATCATTTAAAAAAAAGACTTCTAAATAGGGTTATAAGTAAGAGTAATATATTTTTCTATATTAAGGTGCCTTATTTTATCTCAATATATTACTATTTTAACATTTTAGACACATTAACTCATTTGATTCTAGATATTGCTAGTATTTTTTAATAAGCTAATTTACTTTTAATATGAATAATTTACATTTAACTGAACAAAAATGTTCTGTAGGAATATGCTATTTTGCTGTCACATAGTAATAAAACATTAATTTCCTATTTGTGAACAATACTCTTGCTTATTTATCATAATTTCCATGGCAATTATTTTGTGTTTTGTAATTCTCTGAACCTTATAAGCAATGCTGAAGTAGTATAAATTCTACTTCTAGAAAAATTAAACTATCTTGTACATTCTGGTGAGCATGGAATTTATAGATTTGAGTCATAATATGTATTTGCTAAATTAATTACCCTAAAATGTTTCATTAAAAATTTTAGGATATATTTACCACTTCAATTATATAGTTGTTCAGAAAATCTCTAGATATTTTATGTTTAATAAAATCCTCAAAATATCAAAAGTATAAATAATGCTTCTGCTTTTAGTCAGTTTACTGTATTACCCAAAATGTGTGATTCTACTATGGTTCTTACTATTTTTCATTTATTAACCAATTTTAATTTTTGCAAAAAGAAATCATGTGTAACTCATTATTTGTGGAGAGGAAAAAATAACTACAGCTTAAAATAGTCACTGTATAGTCTTCAAAAAAACCTTTTCCTAGGGATTTTTTTTTTAAGGGATGGCTCCCAAGAGGTGACTTGTTTGCTTTGTAAATATTATGTAGTATGTTTTTAAGGAGATAGAGCACAAGAACACATGTGAAATAATTCTCTGTATTTTACCACAATCAAATGTTTCAATTATTAAAATAACAATTATTGAGATAACATGTCAAAGGAGTGAAATTATGTACCCTAGTATTTCTTTTTCCTCTTGCAAAAATGCTTGATAGAATCACAGTAAATAAAACTTTGGATAAACACATGAAACTTTAGACTAACTTTCTATTGGGATCACTATAGATTTTCCACAATGTTTTGTTACAGCATAAGTAACAAAACAAAAGTTAGTAAGCATAAGCTTACTAACTTTAGGTAATAAGAAACCTAGAAATATTGTAAGGATTCATATCTACAACATAGGTTTTAGGAATCTAAGATATATACCTTTGATTTTGTTTATCTGTTGTGAAGCTATTCAAAGAGATGTACCTTACATGCATTTAACAAACTATTGAGTCCATTTGTTTCTAATGAAAAGCGTTCACTCTAAAATTGTTTCTTAGGAACAAAAGTAGAATTAGTTTTCACATTATCAGTTTGCCTTCATTTCTCTCTTTGATTTTGTAATCGATTATTATATATGTATTATATTTAATCTCAGCTTTTTGATGTATTCTGGATATACTTACATAAAGTACCAAACTTATCATAGGAAATTAATCACTTTCCTACACCTAGACATAAAAATGTTTAAAAATTATTTGACATAGGTGTTACCCCTTTTATTTAAAATGCAATATAATGAGATATGAAATGGAATAATCATGAGACCTGAAATGAAATAATCATGAGATATGAAATAGAATAAACCTAGTATTCACTTCCTAAAGTTATCTAATATGTCTACTAGTCCAAAATTGCATGCCATATAATTAAATATATTTGGGAAATTGTGTTCTTTATTTTCTAATTTTTTTTATTTGCCAGCATTTTTCATTATCAAAAAATAAGACTGAGAATTTATAGGTAAGGTGGAAGTTCTTGATATATTAGACTTAAGGGAGACTAATGCTTGATTTACTGCTTATATTTCCATTTCCATTTCTGTGATTACACTTAGGTGGGTAGGTAATTTGATTTGAAGTACTCTTTGGAGTATGCATTGCTTTGGAGTTCTAGATCTATAACTAGTATAAAAAAATTATTGATCACATGTTAGATGTAAGAGCATTATACTAGACCCCAGAGATACAAAAATCAATGTTTGGTCACTTAAACTTAAGTATCCTTCCAAGAGGATTAAGTTTTGGTATTAGATTTATTTGTGCTCAAAGAGATCTTATTTTAGAACATGATTATTTCAGTCAATATGCATTCTGAATTCAATTGCTTAGCATTGCTAAAGTGCACTTAAATAGACTGCATAGAGTGACTGATTAGCAAGTTGTCTGAACACAATTTTTCTTGTTCTGATTCTTCTGATTGAATGTTCAGGGCTACAAGTTAATTGTGATTGTGATGAAAGTCTTTGTAGATTTTTGTGGGTGTACTAACACAAAGCTTTAGGGAATTAGTGGTAAGATGGCTTCTTTCACTGTTCTGGAAATGTTAGGGCCAGTAACCATGTTTTGTAGAGATAGACTAATTTACATATTTCACATTTGTATTTAGAGAATTCATTTTGGAAGGCAGGCAGTGTTGTTTGTCATCGATAACTGAGCAACTCCTATTGTTTTCACTGGGAATTGCAATTAAAGACAGATTTTTTTTTTCTTAGCCATTCTTAAATTTAGTGAGAATTTGCTCAAAAGGAAATGTTGGTACAGCAAATCTTTACATACTCAATACTTTTAAACATTACCTTTTCAAAATCATTTTGATGAATCATAACCAAATAGCAGAAGGGCACTAAAGATCAACTGAGCTGCTTTTTGACTAACGTTTCAGGGATTGTGAAGCAGCAGATAGACAGCCATATCACAGATCCAGATCAACAGAACAGCGGCCTCTTCTAGAGCGGACCACCACCCGCTCCAGATCCACTGAGCGTCCTGACACAAACCTCATGAGGTCGATGCCTTCATTAATGACTGGAAGATCTGCCCCTCCTTCACCTGCCTTATCGAGGTGAAAGATAAATCAATCAGACTAACTCCCCTTTGCCCCACCAGTGCACCATTTTATTTTCCCAGCAGCTAAATGGTCTCTTCTCTCATCCTTGGCTGATCACTAGTAACACGCAATACTAACCCTTTCAGTGTAAGCACACTATTTATATTCAGTGGATATAATAGTGTGTGACTGCCATTGTAACTCGTTTATTAACTGTCCTGACTACATTTGTTTGTGGTTTCTCATGTATCAGGAGTCCTGGGTAAATCCCTGCATAATGCACCTCATAACTATCATGTTCTTCTCCTACAGAATGAGAAATTGTTTGTGTCCATTAGACATCACTTTTAAAATAATCATCATGACGACAATGAATAAAACTAAATATTTGGTTTCTTTCTATCACTACTAATATCACATTTTAACTGATGTCTTTGCTAGCTGAATTTTGAATTGAAGGTTTTATATGTAATTTCACATGACATTTTCTAGTAAAGGGATAACTAATAAAAACCTGAGTAAAAATCTTTGTGATTCAAGGGAAAGAGGTTAGCATCGAAATCTGGTAGAAAGAAATATAAAGCAAGCATTACTTTTTATTATTATCATTTTTGAGATACAAATGTCTCCTCTTGCTTTCATATGGATAGAATACTAATTTATGTTAGTAATTCCATGGATTTTACTTAGGATTTTGTGTGCATGTATCTGTGTGTGTGTACATATTTACATAAAAGTTTAGATAATCATTCAAATATCCATATTTTGTCCTACTGTCTTAACCTTTTAATCAGCAGCTAAACCTCTTTTAAATTGCTCTTATACAGCTATCATATGAACCAAATATCTTAGAAGTACGTAAGTCATTCTACTGAAATTAAATATTAATGATGTATCTTTTAGGTCACATCCTCGCACTGGGTCTGTCCAGACAAGCCCATCAAGTACTCCAGTGGCAGGAAGAAGGGGTCGGCAGCTTCCGCAACTTCCACCAAAGGGAACATTGGAGAGAAGTAAGTTTTATTTCTAATTATTTCATATAGGAAATACACATGGAAGCTAAGGTGAATCAAGATTTCTTTTTACTACCTTTGTGTTAGTTTTTTCTTTTAATCAAATGCTTTTGCTGCATTTGCTAATGGTTAAATTTATAAGTATATTTATGAATGTTGTATATGTTATACTTAAAATTTGTAATGTTTGAAGGTAAAATACCTACCATTGGTACTCTGGCACATTTTTCATATTTGAATAATTGCATTTTAAAAAGTAAATTAATGCTCTAAAGTAAGCAGTTGGATGATATTTCTTTGCTACAATTAAGTATATGTAATTGTTGATAGTTACATAAAGTTTATTAGTAACTAGACAAATCAATTTTCACACACTGCAAAGGACTGGTTAGCTGATGCACTACAATGGTGATCCTTCTCAAAACTGGAGTACCAGAAAAAGGTAATCATGAATATACCAAGAAAGATGCATGTTGTACTGATATTTTAATATTTTCAAATTTTTGCATAAGAAGCACTGTTTGCTTACACACAGATGAACATACTCCCCATTTTCTATAAATTCTTGAATAAAGGACCTCTAAACGCATGGGCAATGAATAGATTCTAGTAATTTCTAATGTCATCTTTAATGGCCCCTTTATTGTTAACTGGATGTGCTTTGCCAAAAAAAAAAAAAAAAAACAAAAAAACCCTACATTTAAATCACCATTTACCTTTTCTTTAATAGATGATACATTCTGTACCTTTGGAAATTTCTGTTGTTTTTAACCCCTGTGCTTTGGTTCCCTCTTTTGTTTTGTTTTTATTTTGTTTTCCTAGACAATGGAGTCAAGGAGATAGAACCTTGTGAAGGTCTGTACATAAAGGAGGGTTTGTTTTGTGCTGACAGCCTTTTGGGGGGCTTTGTAAGCAAAAATAAACCCAACTGCAATTGATGTTCCTTCATTGTATAGACTTTTAGGTACAGTAAATTTATTTTGTTTATAATTTCTGGTGAAGTTCATCTTTTGTTTTACTTGGGGCTATATCAAGGAGTTAAATGTATTTGCTTCAGACATAGAAGAATGCAAAGAGTTTAACTTCTTTTAGATGGTTAGGTAAAATATCCCTGTTAAAAATTTTAGTTTGCCATCTAAGCAGAATTGTATGCTTTGTGCAAGATGACTTTAACTAAAAATATCAATTGCAGTCTGTGTTTATATCATTGAGGATGTACACCTAGTCTAATCATACTTATCATATATTTCATTTTCTATTATGATGATTTTAATTATTAAATTTGACTTTCTAGAAGAGGATTAGTGATGGTGGTTTGTTTTTCCAACATTTTTCATGTTGGGACTGCTTACAGTACACCAGTTAAACATATACAGTTTAATTATCAAACACAGTCTTACTCAAAAGAAGCTACTGAGTTGTGATATGGGGGTGTCACATACACATCCTAATGGACAATAACAATTCCTCTATAGAATTCTGAAACTGACTTTGTGACTTTAAAGAACGACTATTCATTGATGACTCCAGCAATAGAATAGTGCCAGACACACTAAGTCCCTCAATAAATACTTGTTGAATGAATGCACAAAGTATTTATTTAAAAGCCAAAAACTACTGCAAATAGTGTTTATAGTACCACTGGAATAATTTTGTTACTCTTATAAGTTTGTACTAAAATTTATTTTTTATATCATCTTTGTAACGATTTTAAAGGCATTGCCGTTGACCAGTAGTATATTTATTGCCTTATTTAATAGGAGACAAGTTGTATTCTTGTTCATTGTAGTTGAATAATTATCCACTTTTATCTCATTTTTTTTCTATTTTCTGTAAACAGTGATATTAAACAACTTAGATGTTGTAATTAGTAGTCTGTTATGCTGCCTGATAAAAGAATTTCGGCAGCATTTCTATAGTTCTTAGTTATTTGCATAAAAAGAAGGCATGCAGTTTTGAAAGTGCTCTCATAAGGAAAGTTCTGTGGTATGTATGAAATTTTTGTGTTCCTGAAATTTTTTACTTTTGGTTGTATTCCTCTGTTAGAATCTCACCTTTCTTCAAGTGTTAAAATCTCATATCATATCAGACCAAAATGATCTTTCTAGTCTGTGAGACTTCAAATCAATTACAGTGCATTGGACTTACTCTCCAAGATTTTAAAAACTTATTTTCCTCTCCACAATATTCAAATTTCATTTTCACATAATTTTTTGGCATAAAATTTCAAAGTAGTTTGTCACAAATTTTTAAAAATTTAATTTTGATAACTTGTATAGCAGTTGTCTTTTGTGATATCAGTAGTTCAATTCCTTGAAACAATACATATAAAAGAAAACTGACATAATTAGGATTGATGAAATTTATAATGAATTTGTCAAACGACCTTATAATCTGTTTTTTTCCCTATAAAATCTGTTAAAAATCAATTTTCTTTTCACATTCCTAATTGCAATATTTTTCCCCAAACTTATGAGAGGCAAGCCAAAAATCTCCCTTTTCCTTTTCTGTATGGAATAAAAGAATATTTTAGTTTACTTTCATAACCTTAACAATGTTTTAGCAACATTTAGCAATAAATATTGATATGAAGATTTAGTAGAGACTACATAAATTTTTAGCATTTTAGCATAGTGTTTTTTCAGTAGTCTTCAAATTCTACCTGAAGTTAGTTACATAACCCAAAACAGATTATCATTTGATGGTTCTAAATCAATTTAGAAGATTACCTAAGATTACCTAAGATGTTCTTAGAAATTATAGCTTTTAACAATGTTATTTTAGAATCAAAGTATTGACATGCCTGTCCAACAGCTAAAAAATGTGCAAGCTGTAATTTAAATATTTTTGGTTTTAAGTATATTTTAGTCTGCTGGTTAATTTAAAGCCATATGTTGGTTTGAACAATGGTACAGTATATAGTGATCATCTAAGAACCTGAGTAAATAGAAATTTAATGGACATATACTATAGTAAGCCATTATCAAGCATTATTATTTTTTAATTTTCTTCTCACTTTGAGGTGCTGACATTTTGTAAAAATAGGGAATAATTTGTAATATCATCTTTGTTTCTGTAGAAGCCATTTATTATATTATTTTTGGAAGAATATACCAATTTTATAGACAAAGCATTTTGCCTATTATCCATTTTTATTAAATTTTGCAACTATTTTTAGAGCCACAGTTTCACTTTTATAAGTTGGTCTTCATAAAAGGAGACAATATGACAATTACAGAATATTTATTTGCTTTTCTAGTATGTCAAAAACTCCTTTAAAATAATTTGTTTCCTTTGAGTTGCTCTTTTTATCATGAGTAATTTTTCATTTCACTTAAGAGTAACACATGTCTGGTTTTACCTTTTGTTTTTTTTTACTTTTACTGTGCAAATGCAGAAGCTAATGAAGCATCTGAGTATGCGGAGGAACAGGGGGGAGAAAAGCAGGGTGAAGAGGTCAAGGCAGGTCAGTCTGTGTCAAAAGTGAAAATAGCTAGTGTGGTAGAGTGTGACTTCTTAATTTTATGTGAGATTTGGATTCCAAATTTATAAATAAATAATAAAGAACAAATTGTCAGTCAGTACTAGTTTTAAAATAAAATTAAGGTTATTAGAATAATGTTGCATAAACTACTGAGGTAGCTTATCAGAATGTATAATTTACCTATTTGGGTATTCAAAATGTTTATTGAGCATCTATTTTTTAAAAGTGGTCTTTTGCCAGATGCTATACTAATATTTGGTCAAACCCCAGCCTTCTTTCTCAAGAACTTGATTTTTAGGAGAGGTTAATTAAAGTAACTATAGAACATAATATAAATTCTGTTAAAACTTTTAAAGATTGTTATCACTTTTTCCTGTAATAAGTACTACTAACTGCAGGTTCATCTTCATCCTGGTTCACTCACTCCGATATTTATTGGCAATCAACATTGGTCCCCCAAGAGAACTCTAGCTACATGAGATCCCTTTACTTTGGTATTTTTTAAGTCTCTTCTATGTTTGCAGGTCACTTTCTTTGTCAGAAAACATAATCAGTAAATGTTTTTATATACTTCTTTTACAAAAATTTCACAGTTTTTATTTGAAACTCAGGATTTAATTCGAGTCTTGTTTGAAGTTTAATTTTCTTTGAACATAGCAGAATAACTTTAGATTTGATTTTTATCAGTTGTTTAACTGATCATCACTTTTTATTCATGAATAGCAGAGTTGACATGCCTTTTGTCTTTCCTGTTACCATCGTATGAAAGCAATAGCCATTACATAACCAGTGCATGAGATGTATTTTCATGAATGCATTCTCTGGGTGGTGTAAGGCTGCAAATCTTTTACATGGCAGCTGCTAATTTTCAGTAACTGTTTTCCATGTCATAACAATGAGAAAAATCATCAGTATGTATGATAATGAAAACAAATTTCAATGCTTATTTATAGAAGTATATAACTAACTCTATTGTGAATACCTAGCATTCCAGCAACAGTGTTCACACCTTCTGTTTTCCTGGAATGGTATAGAAATAGCATTTTCATGGCAGACTATAAAAATGAATTTCATTTTCACTTAGCTGAGCAGTTAAGTTTTCCCATTTGTTCGTTCCTTTATGTCTAATAATAGTTCATAAAGATACTTATTGGCTTTGCAGTAATTTTATAGGTTTTCATTAGGTAAGGACTTCAGCAGTCATTATAACTTTTATTTTTAGCTTCGATAAGATAAAGAAGCCATTTTTGTTGAATTTGTCACCTAAATAAACTTATCACAATATTTATTACTAAATTATAGCAGTTCTCAAATTAGCATAGAAACATAGCTTTGTTATCAACTAATTATAAAATGACTATTCCTCAATTTTTGTGTTTACTTCCTTGTTATTAGAATAGGAAGAATTTATGTGTTTCCTAGTGTGAGACTTCATTATTGTGCATGGATTTGTTTCCCTGTGTGTGCTATGATCATTTTTGGTGTGCTTTGTTTTTATTTCGGTTGTAATGATCTT